TAAAAAGGGCTATATTAGTCCGGGAGGCCGGGACAAGAGGACTAAATTCAAGGCCAGCCAGGGTTACAAACTGAGAGCACAGTGAGACCCTGTCTCCAATCAATCAATCAATCAATCAATCAGTCAGTCAATCTAAAAAGGGCTACCTCGAAGACAAAGAACCTCATTATAGTGACTTGATGGGTACCAAAGAAGTTACAGTACGTATAAAATTCTTTAAATAGAGCTGGACGTGGCAGCACATGCCTGTAATCCCAGCACTCAGGAGGCTGAGGCAGGAGGATTGTTGTTAGTTCGATGCCAGCCTAGACTGCGAAGTGAGATCAAGGCCAGCCTGAAGTTCATAGTGAGACCCTGTCTCAAAAAGAGCAAAAAGAAAAAAATTCTTTAAATAAAATAATAATTTAAATAAAAATGTATTGGGCAAGGGAGATAGCTCAGTGCTCTAAGCACGTGCTTGGCAAGCACAAGGCCCTGAGTTTGATCCTTGGTACAAAAAAAGAAAGAAAGAAAGAAGAAAGAAAAAGAAAGAAAGAAAGAAAGAAAGAAAGAAAGAAAGAAAGAAAGGAACTGTTAAATAAAAATTTATTGACTATATAAGCATGTAAGAATATATAAGTATATATACAAGAATGCATCTGTGAAAATAGAACCCAGCTGGTTCCACCCCTGGGGCTCCCCAGTGTCAGAGGCAGGGCTTCCAGGAAGGGCTCAGGTCTCTGGGATGTGGACTCAACTCAGTTCTTGTGCCCGGGTAGGCATTACCCGTGGCCTCCCTTCACTCCTGGCCCTTCTGCATGCTGTTTCCCTTCGGACCTCACTAGCAGCTGTGGCATAGCCAGGAGGCCGCCCAGTCTTAGACTCCGCCTCCAAAACTGAACTAAAGAAACTTCTTTTCTGTTTGAAGCTCCCAGCCTCTGCGAGTGGCTGTAGCAACAGAGAATGGATTAAAATCACAGGCAAGGTAGAAGGGGCTTCGGGGAAGGCCTTGGACTTGTGGTCCTCCTGCCTCAGCTTCCCAGGGTGCTGGGATTACGGCACGTCTCACCACGCCTGATGTGGGCTTTTCCTTCCAAGCTGGGTACCTTTTACAGGGTGTGACAGGGCGATTCCTGAACAGACCTCACCCGAATCCTGCACAGAAGAGGCACGGCAGGGGCACGTGCCTCCTTTCTTAAATCGGCGTAGCCAGGGGATGTGGGGTTCATATAATTCACAGGCAAGCGCTGAGCCTTGTGCTCTAGGGTCCCCTGGCTGTCTCCAGGCACAGATCCACTGGGCTCGTAATCTTGGGCTTCCGCCTCCAGAGTGGGAGTGGTCTGCTGTCTATGTCGGCCAGCCTGAGATGCACTGAGCGGACAAGGATGCCAGTGTGAGGCTACAGAGCTCGACTAGCTGGCCCTTCTGTCCTGTCCCCTCCTGCTGCAACCCAGAGTCACCCGGAAGCCTTGAGCCCGTCAGGAGTTAAGTGGGGAAGCTGGTGGAGGGGACCCTGCTGCCCACCTGTGCATCTTTCATTGTCCAATGTCCAGAGGGTGAGTGACCCGGGGCAGGGACACAAAGCCACAGCCAAGGCTGGGGGCTGCTCTTGGCTGTGTGGCTTCATGTGTCACTTGAAATCTCTGGGCTTCCACTGGCCTGAGAACAGAGCCAGGCAGGCTGTGCAGACAGGTCTTGTGCAAGAAGGAGCTAGAGTCCCTTTCCCCTCCCTCTCCTCCAGCCAGAGCTGGACAAGGACAGTTCTGCTCTTCAACCAGTCTGATCCCCGGGGACACTCTAGTTCTCTCACAGCAGGCAGAACCCTTGGCAGAGCACAGAGTCCCAGTAGTGGCTGCTACATTGTGTCGGACTTGAGAAGTTAAAACTTTAACTAGGAGCTGGGGAGATGGCTCAGTGGAGTAAGTGCTTCCCTGGCTAAGGGGCTAAGGGACAAGGCCTGAGTTCAAACCCCAGTTCTGAAAAAAAAAAAAAAAAAGCTTAACTAAATCGGGTCAATTTCACACTGTGCAGTGACTCAGCACTTCAAGGATTTAAAAGGGAACTGAGGAAAGTCAGAGAGCACCACTTCCTTGGAGGAGCTCAGTCTTCCTTGCCAGCGCAGAAGGGAGAGGTTGCTACAAGCTGCAGCTGTATCTCCTCCCTTTGCTTTTTGCCACTGCTCTATGCCATGTGCCAGTCTGCCTTGGAGCCAGCAGAGTATGGACTGAAGCCTCCACTAACTTTTCTTCCTTCATTTTGGGTGTCAGGTATTTTGTCCCAGCAATGTGAAAAGTAACCAAGGCCATCCCCATGGCTGCTGTCACATGGGTCACCTGGGAGCTGTGCCGTGCATGGGGCCTTCTCAGTGACACAGCTGGGCTGGGGCCCCTGGCACAGGAGGGGTGCAGAGTCTGGAGCCAGCTGGTCCTAGTTGGCTTCTCCCCTACCTGTCCAGTCTCCCTTGGCAGCTGGAGGTGGCCCTGAGCCAGGATCAGATCTGTGCCCAGTGGGCACTTGCATTTCACTGCCATCTACACAGAGCACCAGTCATGTGTGGGTTCTAAATGCCGGGATTCTGTGGCTTACAGCGACAGGCAGATGCCTGCACGGCTGACACGGGCAGGGAAGGCACCGGAGAGGCCCCACGTCAAGGCATCCAACAGAGCAGGGCAGGAGCCAGCAAGAAAGTGGGGAGCGGGCAGCACAGGCCAGACCAAGGACACGGGGCTGCAACATCCCTGTGGTGGGGCACATGGAGTGGAGTAAAGCAGGAAATGGACCAGGGAATTGGGGACCACAGAGTGTGCCCCAGAGAGAGAAGGTAAGAGAGGCCTTTACCAGGCACCACTGGAAGACAAGGTGAACAATATGCAATATGTTAATTATTGTTACTTTGCGATTGTCTTCAAAAAAAATTTTTTTTCAGAACCGGGGATTGAACTCAGGCCCTTGCGTTTTCCAGAGAAGCGCTTATTCCACTGAGCCATCTCTGTCCCCCCTCCCCAATTTTTTTCTTTTTAAAATAAAATAATAGGGGCTGGGATACAGCTCGGTGTCATAGTACCTTCCTGGGAAGCCTGAGGTCCTGAGTTCAATTCTCGGTATCCCCCCAAAATAAAATTAAAAAATAAGAAAGCTATGGTAAATGTTTAAAAGAACAAATATTCCAATAAAGGGCTGGGGAGATCGCTTGGTGGTCTAATTGCCTGTCTGGCAAGCGCCAGGACCTGGGTTTGATTCCTGGTACCAGCATGCTGTGCTGGCTCTGGAACCCCGGGCATGCAGTGCCAGCCACTGAAACTGGGCGTGGTGGCTCACACCTGTAGTCCCACTGCGGGGGAGGCAGAGATAGGAGGCCCACTACGAGTCTGAGCTGCATATGAGACCCTGTACCAAATACATAAATAAAAGATTTTAAAAATTATAAAAAGTCACACCTGCAGCAGTGCTGGAGCCCTCACGGGGGGTCTTCGTCAGGCCGCTACGGGGGTCATGCTGTCCTGAGCCTGCCTCTGGTGCTGGCACTCAGCAGCAGTCACAGCCTTTGTGACCACACCTCGTAGACACCCAGGAAAGAGGACCCCAGAGCTGCTGCAGGAAGTGCAGAGCCGAGGCAGGAGTGCACTCAAGGCAAGGGGCAGGATTTGCGGGGCCTCGTGGTCTTTCATTATCATACATTTAAGAAACGTAAATTCACTGCTTCTGTCCACACCACGGAGCTTCCCTGAGCAGGCGGCGGGGCGCATGTGCCCTGCTGCCAGGAACACAGAGCAGGTAGTTGACAGCGTTTTCTACCAGCAGCCCGGGTCCTACCGGCTTTGCTTGCCCCTTCTGGGGCCTGCGTGGTGGCTGGTGTGGAGGCACGGCTGGCTATTCTTTACCTTCGTCCCTCCCTTTCTTGGCGAGGTGTAGGAGGCCCTCCATTCCGGGTCACCCTTTGTCCCCTGGGGCTACCCAGGGCTTCTCCATCGAAGGCACAGACACCAGGGGCCTTAAAATCATCAATCAAGTTTAATGCATCATACAGAAGGAAAACTACATCGGCATATTTAGGACAAACACTTTTTCTCTATCCTCACTATCCACTGGACGGTCCTCCTTGGTCCAAAAAACTAAGTCTCAAGACACGTCGGCAGCTACCCCTCCCGGGTCCAACCTTCCACACCCTCCCGTGACATTTTGAAAAGTTCTAATTCAATCCATCCAAGAAGAAAAACAAACAACAGAAGAGGAACCTGAAGACATTTAGGTCGCAAGTCTCGCAGGAATGCATAATTGGCATCGAGAATAACCAATATATAAGATGTGGGCCTCACGCGGCTCACTTTGTTCATCAATAAAATATAAAAATCTTGTTCAACCCAGTGTTGAGTGTATTAAAATAGATCTGTATCGTACAGCACAGTTTCTCCCGGAGTCGTGGAAATGACAAGAGGGACCGCGTGGCAGTCTGTGTGCATGCGTGCGTGTCTGGGGCCGGGCTGCAAAGCACACACACGCGCGCGTGCACACACACACGCGCACGTGTGTTCAATGCAATTCGGCACCATGTGATACGCTGGGGCGCAGCCCCGGGCTCCTGGGCGCTTTTCTTGTTGTGCTGTGCCCCCAAGCAGGGGACAAGAAGCTGGTGGGCATGGTGAGCTGGAAGAGCCGACTGGAAGAGGGAGGCCTGGGGAGAGGCTGGAGGACCCTCAAGTCCCCGAACGCCGGGCCATCCCAAAGCTGCAGCCTGTCCTTTCTCCCCACTCTGCACCCCAGCTTTTAAAACCCACCCAGTCTTGGGGTGACCAGGCCTGCAGGGAGTGCGGCATTCGCCACACCACAGGGCAGAGACCACCAGAGGCAGAGAAGGGAGCAGGAGCCCCCCGCACATTAAATTCCTCACAACTAAAAATGCCATACAAAAATGTAAAGTTATCTTTTTGGCATCGCGACTGTACTGGCAAGAACAGAGGACTGGAATACTTAGCGGCTTCCGGGAAGCAGAGAGGAAAAGGCTCCCATGGTAAGTTGAATGGCTCAGCCCGAAACGGAAGCCAGCAGGCGGCACCTCCGCGCAGCGGCAGCTCCGCCCTGCCCAAAAACCCTGCGAGGGAAACACAGCGAGGAGCGGCAATGTGAGCCCAAAAAGGCGCTGGGCGGCGGCTTTCCACTTCAAGAGCTGCGTCTCAACCTAGTAATACTGACAATGTGGCGCTGGGAAGGCAGGCAGGGAACCCCGGCGGCCTGAGGGCGGGCGTTGGAGGACTACCTAGCTTGCTACCCTCTTCTCCTGCCACGCCCAGCCCAACTACCCTACTACTCAGCTAACGCGCCCTGCTCGCCCTGGAAGCAGGAGGCTCGAGGTGACCCTGCAGGCCCGGCAGAGCCAGCCTGCTGCGTCCGACCTCCAGTGCAGCCTCCCACCCGCAAGTGTGGGTGGGGCTGTGGGGAGAGCCGGAAGGGGCACCCGAGGATGGGGCCACCTGTGCTTGGACCCCACCTGTCGTCCAGGAGTCCCTGGATGGGGAAGGCGCAGGGTTCCCCTCCCCTGTCATGGCTCAGGCTGCTTGCCCAGCTCCTTCTCCCTTCTCTTCTTGGTTCTCTGTTTTTTTGTCTGAATTCATAGAATATATGAATTAAGGCCGACAGAACCCCGAGGTCACATGAGCAGGGTCCCAGTAATTTCCGTGGGCACAAAGACAGGTCTCTGTGGTCACTTGTGGTCCTGGGGGTGCTGGAGGGTGGAGCGCATGGCAGCAGCTGAGGGCTTGGTCCAGGGCCCGGCCAGCAGGGGGGTGGGGCTCATGGTCGTCATGGCGACCTGGAGCATCTGCTCGCCCTGTATCAGTCTCAGGAGGGCCCGGAGGCGGTCCAGGGAAGACTGGGTGCCCCTCTGTCGGGCCAGCAGGCTGGTCTTAAGCTCCAGGCATTTCTGTCAAGGGAAGAGAGGGATTCAGAATGCAGCAGAACGCAGCCTGGGGAGCTCGGTCAGGCCCGCCCTCCTCCCAGGGCCCTTCCTTTCCACTGCCCCAAGTGGCAGCAAGACGGGAGGAAATGGCAGACCCGTGGGGAGCTTTTCTCTGCCTACAAGACATGCACGCTGGCAGCAGCAAGAGGATGTCCCCTCACAGCAGCCACTTCTCTCTTTCTGTTTCCTGCGGCAGCCACAAGGCCCTTGGGCTTGGCAGCCAACTCCCCTCTCTCTCCTCCCACCTTCTTCTAGGCTATGCCTTTGGCAGCAATAGTCCATCAGGCCATGGGGCCTGCTGCTAGCCAACAGCAGCTTCCCTCCAGCTGTCTACAAACCACCATGGAAAATCTGTTTCTTCCTAGAGCTATGGAGAGGGTTGAAAGAGACACTGTATTACAGTGCCCAGCACCATGAACACCAGAACCTCATCTCCATCACCACCAGTACCATCACCACGACCATCATGGTTACTGTCACCACCACCACCACCACCACCACCACCACCACCACCACCACCACCAGTCACCAGTGATGGGCATCATCCTTAAAACCATCACAAGCCATACCACCATCACCAATACCATCACCACCGTCATTATCACCACCACCACCAGCATCACCACCACCACCGCCACCACTGCCACCATCATCCCCACCACCACCATCACCAGCACCGTCACCACCACCACCATCACTATCACCAGCACCACTGTCACCAGCACCAGCACCACCACCGTCACCACCAGCACCAGCACTACTACCACCGTCACCACCATCACCATCATCCCCACCACCACCACATCACCATTACGACCACCACCAGCACCACCACCGTCACCACTGTCACCATCATCCCCACCACCACTGTCACCACCACCATCACCACCATCACAACCACCACCACCATCACCATCATCCTCACCAACACCACCACCATTACCAGGAAAGCATTTATTCTACTGAGCTATCTCCCCAGCCCCACCACCACCTTTACCATTACCACCACCACCACCACCACCACCACCACCACCATCACTATCATCTCCACCAACACCAACACCACATCACCATCACCACTACCACTACCACCAACATCACTACCACCATCACCACTACCACCACCACCGTCACCACCACTACCACTGTCACCACAACCATCACCATCATCCCCACCACCACCACCGCCATCACCACCACCATCACTATCACCACATCACCACCCTGGCCATCAATCACCACCACCACCACCACCACCACATCACCACCCAGGCCATCAATCCCCACCACCACCACCGCCATCACCACCACCACCACTATCACCACATCACCACCCTGGCCATCAGTCACCACATGAAGATCATCAATCTAGCCATCCCCACCCTAATCTCCACCAGTTAGTTTATTAACACCTGACAGAGCATTTTTTTTACATTAGGAAGAAACTGAGGTTCAGAGAAGCCCCAGATGTCTCTAATTGCTTGATCAGTATCTGTCCAACTCATCACAGAGCCTTATCCCCCTCCCATGCACTCCCCGGGCCATGCCACCTCCTCCGGAGTTGCGGGAGTGGACGGAGGCTCGGCTCAGGCCCTCAGGCCGCGCCCACCCGGCCCGCACGCACCTGCATGGCTGAGGCCAGCTGGCGGTCCCGCTCTTCCAGCTGCTGGTGCTCACTCTGCAGCTCATTGCCTCGCTGCAGCAGCTTCTGCTTCTCCTCTTCTTTGACTAGAAGAGAGGGGACCAGGCCCGCTGAGAGGCCAGATAAGCAGTGGCCAAGAGGACGCGAGGTGGGGGAGGCCCCGACAGAGCCTGAGCCGTGTTCCTTCAGGGCCAGTGCCTCCGGCGGGTTCAGGGAACAAGAAGTAGTGCAAATGCCCCGCCCAGGACTGGGCCCACCCAGGCTCCCAAAAGCTGCAGTGGGAAGGGAGGGGGTGCCTTACCCGTCTTGTGGGTGACGTAGGAGTGCACGATGGCCAGCATGCCAGTCCAGGGTACACTCTCGTCTTTCTTTAAGGCCTGGGGGCACAGGGGAAGTGAGAGGGCAGACAGGTCCTATGTCCTGCGGGATGGGGCGTGCCTGACTGTCAGCCCCTGACCCAAGTTGCATCCCAGAAAATATTTTTCTGGGTCTCCCTGCCAAGCTGAGGCCGGGGACGTGGCTAAGCACCGCCTCCCCATTTGCAGGACAAGGCCCCACCCAAAGGGTCGAATGTAGCTGCACCCAAGGCCCTCCTGTCACCTGCCTCTGCCCTCCCTGCCCTGCCCAGGGTGGTGCCCGCCCAGGACGCCGACCTTCTGCTGGCACTTGGGGCACAGCCACCCGCCTTTGGGCACCGCCTTGAGGGGCGGGTGCAGGCAGCCGAGGTGGTAGGCCCCCGGGCAAGCGCCGCAGCGCAGCAGGTTGGCACCCCGCTTGCAGGCCACACAGTACTCATCACGCACGAGCTCGCTCTGGAAGAGAAGGGAGGCTGTGGTTAGGCTCAGGGTGGGGCGCCGGGGGCAGGTCCTGCAGGGGGACAGTGTCGGAAGCGTCTGTGCCCCAGCAGCAGCCATGGTGACCTGAAGGACAGGACTCTGGGCACCAACCAGGGCCTGCTGACCAAGCAAGTCCCCAAGGCCTGACCCCGTGTCCTGATGCTCCATGGTGAGGCTGGGCTCCAGGGGTGAGGACGGGCTTCCGCTGTGGCCCAGAGGACAGCCTGTGTGCGTCCTACCCTGGGAGCTGGACCGGCAAGCAAGACTCTTTCTGGCTTGCTGAGGCCTGCAGCACGGCTGTGCCCAGCACGAGCTGCCCACGACCCTCAGCAGCTCGTCCCTCTACACTCAGTCTGGCACTGTAAGTGCCACCCAGGTCTGTGTCTGTCACATGGATGATGACTACCACGTGGTCGCTGCAGGACTCAACAGGAGTGTGCCAAGTGCCCCATCACTGTGTGGCCCCGTGGCAGGGCTGAGGGCACTGGCCACCTTGCCAGGCATTGGCACCTCCCAGCAGCTATGTGTCGGGGGCCCCTGTGACAGGGAGTTCACAGCCCTGTGTGACCCACCGTCTGCAGACCTCACTGATTTGTTCAGTGGCTTGGCCAGTACAAGCACGCAGGGCCTGGACATCCCTTCAGAATGAGATCAGAAACTGGGTAAGAACAGACTCAGTAAGTCCCAGGGCCACACCTGGACACCAACCAGGCTGCGAACAGTCTAAGTCAAGGCACACAGGGACAGGTGTGTGTGGGTCGCAAAGCACAGGATCATAGAGGTCAGACGGGTGTGTGGGGTGAGCCCTCAGGGCCACCTCTGCCCAGGACCACACAGCGAGCTGCGCAGCCAGGGCAGAAGCAAGCAGTGAGGAGGGCCTCTGCGGCTCCTGGAGTCTGGTCCCCTCAACACGGGGCAGGGAGGCTCCCTGGGGCAATGCCTGGCTCTGCCGCGTGAGTGGGAGCTCCTGGCACCTAGGGCGGTGCTGAAGGCCCTGGGCCCCATGCCCGGGCCAGGCCTGCCCAGAGGCGACCTTCCTGCACAGCACAGAGCATGCTCCGCCCCCAGGGTGAGCCGGGCACGTACCTTCCAGCAGGGGTCCTCATTGGCTGGCACAAGGAGAAGGGCGAGAACAGGTTAGTGGGTGCGGGAGGAGCAAAGGGCCAGCCTGGGCCCAGAAAGCCTGGTGTGGCAGGGTTCTCTCTGCAGGGAATGCTGGGAGTGTCACAGGGTCCCAGAAGAGACTGGGTCTCCACTCAGGGTGTGACAGGAGCTCCCTGCCAGAGCTATGAGGAGGGTGGAGAAGGGACCCATTGCTCCAGGGACCCCTCAGGGCTGGGTGTTCAGCTTTTACCCACCCTCACTCCACAACATGGTATCTAAGGACATTTAGGGGTCACAGAAATGGCTGCCCTAAGCACTGAGCAGCCCACCCAATGGCACTAGGCTCTGAGGTAGAGCAGGTACAGCCTGTGCTGTAGTCCAGGAAACCAGGCCAGGGAGAGGCTGAGCTATTTGTACTTTTATGTATTTTTCTAACAGACAGTAACAAACAAACCCCTGCTGTGTGTGCAGTGTGTCTCCTGGGGGCCACAAGGCCCAGTGAGGCTGGCCGAGAGCAGAGGGGCCTCTGAAAACTCTGGTGGCCTCAGCCCATTGCCCTAGTACTCAGCGGACAAGTGGAGCAGAAGCCAGGTCCCTGGGACAAGCCTGGCCCTTTATTGCCTGCGGCAGGCACAGGACAGAGGTGGGAGCTCAGGAGCCCCCAGACGGTACCCCACAGGCAGAGGCTGCACAGCTGTGCTCAGGCTCCTCAGCCCCTGTCCTCCCCACCCACCCAGCCAGATCCTACCAGGTGGCCCAGCACCCTGCAGCCCAGTTTCACCAGCCCTGTCCCTCGCTACCACTGCCACTTACCTCGTGCTGCGAGGAACAGGGGGCTGTTGAGATAGCTGGAGGCCAGCCGCTTCCGCTGCGGGCACAAACAGCAACCACTCACCATGCGTCCAGAATCTCTCCTCAGGACACTGCCCCTTCCAGACTCGAGGGCACAGCTCCCTCTGGGGGTCCCCATGCCAGGCAGGAGCAGGGCAGGTGACACTCAGGGGCACCGCATCCTTCCCAGAGAGCCTCTTTCCTGGCGCAAGCTCAAGAGACGGAGCCAAGCGCCTGACTGGTCTCTGTCCCCAGGAGTGACACTTCTTCTCCCACCAGACCCCTCAGAGCGCAAGCCTGGGGTGTCCCAGCCCTTCCTACCCCTTGGGCTTTAACTAAAAAGGGCAAGAAGACTTCCTCTGGGCTCAGCTGCCCCCCGTAGGTGCGCGGATGGGCAGGAACCAAGGTGCACCAGGAAACTGGGCTCACATGTGAGTCTGTAACACCTCACCCAAGTGTCGGGACAGTGGAACACTGGAGTAGGGATGCGCTTTGGGTGAGGAGGGACCCTCTTGCCTGGTACGTCAACCTTTAAAGTCCTATCCAGCCTGCTGCGAGGCCCTGGGCTAAGTGTGGGGCAGCCCAGCGCCAGGGGCACCTTTGTCTGGAGCCAGGGTGCCCCCTGCAGGTGGACAGACCAGGGCTGGTTATGAGATCAGAGTGGTGGGTACCGGGCCGGGCCATCTTGGGGTCCCTGGCCCCAGCCTGGCCTGCTCCGAGGGCTCCCAACCCAGGTCACTGCCAGCTCCCCACTTTTGTCCCCAGGAAGGACAGACATCCTATGTCAGGGTGGGACGAGGAACCTGTCCACACTGCATATGCTCGCAGCCCCTCCAAGTGCAGCTCTGGGCACAAGGCCTCAGGGGCCCTGGAAGTGGGGATGCACCAGGTGTGACCCTCAGTGCGCCCACAGCTTGGGGCAGCCCCATCCACAGCCTCCGCAGGACGGCTTCCACAGGGACTCGGCCGGCAGCTTCCTCATCTCCATCTTTCCCACGCACACCCAACCACCAGTCCCCACCTCGGTCTCCAGGAGGCCGCTGTAGGCGGGGTTGGCGGTGCTCCTCCGCTTTCGCTCCTGGCGCTTGCTCTGGATTTCTGGAAGGCAAAGGCACAGTGGCTACTGGCTCCCTCCTGCAGGGAGCCCCTAGGCAGCCCTGAGCACAGCCCCAGCCCCCCATCTGTCTGGCACCCCTGCCCTGCAGCAGCCAGGACAAAGTGGAGCCCCCAGGCGTCACCCCTCACCCCCAGCCTCGTGACAGTAGCTAGCGCGTGGCCCTCTCGTGGGGTGCGTGGACGGCATCAGCAGTGGTAATGCGACGATGCCAGCCTGGCTGGCTGCAGAGGGGCTCTGGCTTCCTTCCGGCTGGGCCAGCCGTGGCGTCCTGGGCACTCGGCAGCCCTCGCCCTAGGCAGCCTGCAGGTGTTGGCACACCCACCCGAGCTCGGGAACGTGTGCTGCGGGGCTGAAGACCTTCCCCTGCCCTGTTCGCCCTGCCCCTTGCTGCTGGGTGGACCTGCAGCCTGCCTCTGCCGGTGGCTGCCTGCCTGCCTGCCACCTTCTCCTCTCCCCTGCAGCCGTCCCTTCTCTACCAGCCTTTCCAGCACTGTACTGTGGGCTTCCGGGGAGGCACCCCAGGCCTCCCTGGGGGAAGAGAAGGCCCAGATCAACACTGGGGGTACGCGGGGGCAAGGAAAGTGCTCAAAGTGAGGACTGTTCATAAAAACAGCCACTTGCCTCCCGCCTCTGCAGTGCCAGGGCGCACTATCCTTCCGCTGGAAATGAGGAGGAAGTGGTTCGGCATGGGGAAGGAGTCGCCCGTGTCACCCAACTGGCCAGGGCCCCGACAAGGCCTCTGTCCCACACTCCGCCCCCACCATCCCACAGTTTCCATGCTCCAAGGTCAGTTTCAGAACGGTTTGCAAAGGCAAGCTGGGGACAGAAGGAACCTCAGGTCAACTTGAGGGCATAAGTGCAGTGGGGACGCGTTACTGCGTCATGAGGCACACTTCTGGGTGTGCGCACATGGGCATGGGGTGTGGCCTCGGAACTGCACGTCTGATCCCTGGCCTTTTCCTCTGGTGCTGGTCCCCTTCCGCCACCACACTCCTGCCCCACAGCCAGCCAAACACGGGCTGCGTCTGCGTAAAGCACGAGTCAGTTAATCCATGCATCCCTCGGGTCACGGGTGTCCATTACTATGACCCAGCAGCGGGAGAGTAACTCAGATAAGCTTCCACAGCACCTATAGCCCACACTGCCTAGCTGCTGCCATGCAGCAGGGGCACCAGGAAGGGCACAGGCTGCTTCCTCAGAGGCTTGTGGCAGGGCCGGGCCACCTCCCAGCTGACCTCAGCTGAGCTCTGGGGGCTGCGTGGCCCCGGCTGGGTCTCCTGCCCTCCCACACGTCTCACTTGACCTTATGTTGGAGCTCGCGGGCCCACCAAGCTCCACCGGCTCTCAGTTCATGCCTCCCTATCCCACTTTCATTTATGTCTTGTGTCACTAAGGATGGAACTGGGCCTTCACGCTGAGCTACATCCCCAGCCCTTAGTTGCCCAAGCATGGCTTTAACTTGGGGTCCTTTTGGCTCATCTTCCCAAAGCCTGGGTGACAGGTGTGTACCACTGTGCCCGGCTCTGTCCTGGCTTTAGGAAATGCAAACCAGGCAAGCCTCAGTGTGCAGGGGCACCTGGGCATCCACTTTGTGGAATGTCTTTAGCAGGGCAGGAGTCTGGCTGTGTGGCCCTGGGCAGGTGAGTCGACGTCTCTGACCTCAGCTCCTTACCCTGATGTGAACGAGAGGCCGGGCCTGTGCTCCCTGGCTGATGAGCCTGCCCTCACTGGTAGGTCAAACAGCACCTTCAGAGTCACACTGGTCTATCCACCCCAACAAACTGACACCTCCACAGCTACTGGTGTGTGCGCTGTGACCCAAGGTACACAGGTCAGGCCCACTCACTGATGCCACATGGTGCCCAGCTCTCATAGTTTGTAAATGACAGAAATAGACAGGTAGTTGCCTCCCATTACTTCACTGTGCTACCTTCAGGGCGGGGACAGGGACCCATGAGTCCCCTTCATGGAAACAAGGAAGTGACAAAGAGGGTTCGTGCAGCCCCAGAGCACAGAGCTGGAAGCCCTCTCCGTCCCACCTGCCTCTGGTGACAGCCACCCATCCTGCAGTGCATGAGGCACAGCTCCAGGGAGGAGGCCACCTGACCCACAACTCCTCAAGCCAACTGCTTCAGCCCCTGCCCCAGGCCAGCGCCCATCCCTTACCTTCTAGGTGCTCTGTCGTGACCAGGCCGAGTGCTACCATGAAGGCGATTTTCTGCAGGAGGAAAGGGTAGAGTTAGGGTGGTCTTGACTGTTCCCCAACCAGAACCAGCCATCTGTCCAAGGTGACTGCAGGGCTAGGGCTCCAGATGCTCCAGCTACCAGCCACCGCTCCAGATGCCACGAAAGTGCCCAGGAAGTGCTGGGCAACCAGGCTTCTCCAAGGCCACTGGTAGCTCCAGTTAGAGGGTCCCTTGGAACTGAGGAGGGCTCCCCCAAAAGCCCGGGAAAGCACACATCTCCTGTACACTTAAAAGACATACTGCGCACACAGGACAGTCACCGCCACGGTCAGATCGCACTGTACCGCAGGCCCTGTCACTGCTCTTCATTACTGCTTACTTACTGAATTCTAAACTGAGCACCTGTGAACGCCCAAGCCCAATAGTGAGCTGCACTTGTCCTGTCCTCTGGAGTCTGCGGCTCCTGGACCTTTCCATCTGCACATTCCCATCACCATCTGTGTAGATCTAAACGTGACAGCACTTCGGTCTGCTCTGACTTCCCAAAGGGCTGGCAAACTGCATATGCCACTTGGCGCACGCCACCTGCCACGCCAGCCCCTTGGCTCCTGCTCCCAGCCAGGAGGGCCTCCCTGCATCTACCCTCTGCGGCTGTCCCCCTGGACCCAGGGTGCCGAGGGACAGGGTCACTTCCTGGCTCTTGCATCCCTCTGGCACTGCCCTCCCGCACTCTGGGACTCATCAGAGGCCACCTCCCTGCTCCCTGCTGAGGGCCTGCGCCCTGTGTCTCGGTGCTGCACGCTTTCCTATGGTCCCTGGGTGTCCTTTCAAGATGGAGACTGAAGCTTTTATTTCACATTTTTCTAGAATCATCTTTGTAAAAGTGTCAGCACAGTACAAGAAGCAGAGATAGGGGGCCTGCGCATTAGCTCAGCTGTTTAAGTGCCTGCTAAACAAAGCAGTCAGGCTCAAGATGCTCTGGTTCGAACCCCGTTTCTCACAGGAAACCAGAAATGCCCTCAAGGAATCTTCAGGCCACCAGGGAAAAAAAAAAAAAAAGCAGCAGCAGCAGCAGAGATAGTAAGACTCAGTGCTGCAAGGTGTATGAGCTGGAGTGACCCTATTTCTAGAAATGGGGGTCCTGGGTCCAGGTTCACCAGCTTACCTAAAAAGAGCAGGCAGCCCGGGCTGCCATTCACTACCCCCGGCTCGTAAATCACTTCCGGGCCACTTGGCCACATGGACAGGACAGGGACACCATGGGCTGCCCTGCTCTGAGTGTGAGCCCCTGCTGGTCTCTCCTGTGATGGTTTCATATCTTTCAGCTGTAGGGAGCAGAGAAGAGGCCAGCCCTGCAGCCCCTAGGCAGGAAGTAAACGGGAACGTATACACACAGACCCCACGTCTCTATGTGGAGGAAGGACTGGGAGCAGGGAGTGGAAACTCAGCACTGGGATCCCAGGGGCGCGGTCAGGACCATCCTGAGCCCTGCTGGACTTGGACTTGGTCAGAGGCAGAAGTGAGTGCTCCAGTCCCCCAGCTGTGGGTGGGGACAGCAGGCTCCAGGTCCAGCAGCCTGGATGCAGCGTCCAACTCTGGTGGGTGTGACTTCTGTCACCACCTAGCGTGGATTCTCAGCCCCACATCATGTAGGGGTCAGACCTGGGCTGGTTCCCGAACCTGCTGACAACTGTCATGATGTCTCATCTCCTTTTCAGGGTCTTAAAAGTGGAGGTCCCCATGGAGGCTTCCAAGATGTTCCTGTTGCTTGTGAGGTCTTGCTCGGTGTGGACAGGAATCGAGACTTGGCAGAGCGTGGCTCTTCTAGGGCTAACCCCTGGGCTGTGAATGCCAGCAGCTTCTTGCAGCCTGGGCAATCTTCCAGGCCGCTGTGGATGGCAGCTCCTGGCTGTTCTCAGGGCTCTCCCAGGATCTCTGGTGTTTCAGGGCTGGTGGCCCTTGGTGACGCCAGCTCAGCACCCACCATGTGAATAGGCAGGAATATGCCGCCTGGAAGAGGCATTTTTAGAGCTCGTGGTGCAATATATGAGGAAAATGCAAATGAACTGACCGGGGCTTCCCGGAGGGGCTGCTGAGATTGTGCAGCCGTGTGAGGGGCAGGCTCCTCCGACCTGTCACTGGTGTGTGACCAAAGCCTGCTGCAGCCCACACAAGCATCTCCCAGCACAGCCTGGTTCTGAGGAATAAATGACTCTTTGGGGATCACTGGGTCCCTCTCCCCGCTTCCCTCCCAGCCTAAGAGTCTTCTAAGCAGCAGCCACCTCACAATGGGCTGCCGTGAGGGCCATGGCCACGCCACACGAGCACTTCCGGGCGGCACAGGCCAGCCAGGTGCCCACCACACTGGGTTGCAGAAATGTCCTGTCTCGATAGTGGCATTTTCCACTTCCCTACAAAAACCAGTGTCTCCCCAGTGACTGTGAGCCTCAGCCTGGCTCTGCAGGGAGGTTCCTGGGTCTAACAGGGACGACGCCGGGCAGGTCTGTGTGTGTCACCCCTCCATCCTCTTTGGAAGAAACTTTAATAAAAGCACTTACACTAGGGTGGGTCATAACTACAAACTCTGTGGAAGTCATTACTGTATTTATGCTAATTATGCAGTTAGCTATAATTATACTAATTGTAAAAATGCATGATAATTGACCAGATACATGCTGGGAGCACAAAGTGTATCCACCTGGAGACCCCTCAGAAGGCTGAGGGTGCAGCAAGACCTCAAGGAAGGACAGCAGGGCGCACTGAGCCAGCACGGGGCTTCCCTGAGCACACAGCAGGGCTCAGGCATTGCCCACAGGAGAGAACTGACTGTCCCATTAGGGAAGTGGGGCCGCATCAGCAGCTGACCGCACAGGCCTCGTGCACATGCCAAGGACAGTCTCCAGTCGTGTTCCTGCTCAAGGACATCACTGGCTTTCATTACCTATGGAGTGGGCTGGGGAGATGGCTCAGTAGAATAAGTGCTTGTCTGACAAGCGAAAGGGCCTGAGTTCAATCCCCAGTTCCACCAAAAAAAAAAAAAAAATCAAACAGTAGTACCTATGGAGTGAGGTCCCACCCTGGCCACCGGTGTCCAGATCTTCCACAATGAGGCTCCAACTTCTGTCCTAACGCTGGACCTAGAGGTTCCCACACATATTCACCACTGTGCTCCGACAGCCAGCAGAGCCCCGGGGTGGCCAGAACCCTTGCCAGCACTACAGTGCCACAGGACCCTCTGCCTGTTGTCCCAACCCCTGCCTCCTGCCTGTGCTGTTCCCTGGCCTCTGCTGACCCTGTGTCCCCTCTGTCCCCTCCAGGCCACTGCAGGAAGTCCAGCCCTCTCCCCTCCCTCGACCTCATCTGCGCCTCCGCTACACTGGGCACCTGTAGCCCACGCTGCCGTCCCTCACAGTTGCCTGCTGTCCATGGCAGTGACCTTCCCTAGGATGAGGACCACATCTGTCCCTCACTGGTCAGCAAGGAGACGTGCATCATGACAGAATGGGCAGGCGCTCAGGAACCCAGGGCAGGGTGAGCAGAGGGCAGAGGATGGGCGAGGCCTCCACAGTCAGGAGAAGCCTTGAGCAAGGGAGCAGGCTACCTGGACATGAGGGGACAGCATCTGAGGATGTCAGCGCAGCACGAGGACAGCCGCCTGATATGGCCGGAACCCCTACGCGGCCACCGCCTACAACTGTGCAACCATCCATAGGTGTCACAACAGCCCTTACAGCCCACTGTCCCCACTTCTTTGGCCCCTGACAAAGGAGGTCTTTCTGCTTCATTACGGATGCGGAAACAGGCGACCTGCCCAGGTATTAGGCTGGACACTGCACTGACCACTGGCCCACACTGTTGTGACACCCGCTCATCCCACTATCCCTAGGCCAGGCAGCTGTGAGGTGGCTCCTCGGGTGAGACCCAGATGGCTGCTGCCCCCTTGGTACAGGGATCACCCCACAGCCCAGCAGCTCCTGCACTATGCTGACCCACAGCCTGGGCCCTGGGCAGGGGCCACCTACCTCAGGGTTCTCCTGGTTCGGGGCTCGGTCTTCCTTCTTCCTTTTGGTGGCCTGAGCTCCCGGAGATGGCTCCTCTGTGGGCGGCCGGGGCTCCACTGAGCTCTCGGGCTGTGTCTGCACTTGAGGCTGGATGATGATGACCTGGGAGGCGTTGAGGGGTGAGAGGCAGGGCTGGGAGGGTGGGTGCTGGGTGGGCAGGGGCCCAGGTGCACACCAGCAGGTGCACACCAACAGGTGCCGCACGAGCAGGTACAGCTGTGGTGACCAGAGCTGTGCCTCCCAACTGTCCCTCCTGCTCTGTGAGTGTCTGCACACGACAGGCCAGGGCTTGGGAGCAAGAAGCCCTGGGTTCAAATCCTGCACCCCAGTTTCACCACTGTGTGGACTCAGGGAGGTCCCCCTGAACAAAGCCCCCTCACTGCCTGAACCACACCAACGCCCACTGCAGGCAGGCTGGGCTCTTTACCTCCAACCCAAATGCAGCTGAACTGAGGTATGAGGCTCAGACTTGTTCCTTGCTTGAGACCTCAGCTCAGGAAGCAGAGGGACTGGGCCACTCCCACCACGCCTGGGGCCAGAGGGCTCTGGGCACGCACCCCAGATGCCCCAGGTGGGGTGGGCAGGAGCCCCGAGGCGATGAAAGCCGCCTCTCCCCAGCCATTCCTCCTCCTGCACCCCCACGACTTCATTTCTCTATTCTGGACAAGGGGTCAAGAAAGAGCTGGTCCTTTTCACACTTCTAGGAAGTTAGCAGGAGCAGCCAGCCAGGCCAGCCCAGCCAGGGGCACCCTGAATGGTTTTGGGGTTTATTTCCCAAAGGCTGAGGTAGCAATTGGAGGCTTCTAAGCCGGAAGAGGAAAATGCGTTTTCCTGCGGGCTTAAGGGAAGTGTGTAGTTCTTTGTATCACGTTTCCAGCCATCAAATTCTCCTGCTGCCCCCGCTCGGTATACGAGAAAGCCAAACGCTCCTTTATTATGCTCCCAAGAAAAAAGCATTAAATTCCTCAACAGAGAAAAGGGCCTCAGACCTCCTGGAGCCAAGATGGGCTGGGGCAGTGGGAAGACTGTGTTGCTGATCCAAGGAACCCAGCACAAGTGGCCTTTCCACACCTACGAGGTCAGGGGTGGGGCTGTGGGGACACAGGTACGGCCAGGCGCCATCTGGGGGAACCTGCCATCCGACCCTGACCCTGTGAGCTTTGGGAATCCTTCTGGGTACTGCTGGTGGGGCGAGAGTGGACATGGAGCTCCAACATCTGGGCGGGGAAACAGGCTACAGAGGGGAAATGGCAGCAGGTGTGGGGACACAGAGGAGACCTTAGCTTCTGGCTACTCACTCGCCCACCTTGGGCTGTCACCCCTCCATCCATTCCATCCCCGCAGTCACCGGGGCCTCTTCACCTGTCCCCTCCCGGATGGCCCCTGCCACGGCGGGTGCTCACCTTGCTGTCGGCACTGATGAGGAGGGGCTGCACTTTGATGCTGTCACTGCCCACGGGCACGGTGGCGCTGGGGGCGATGGCGGCGGCGGCATTGCTGGGAGAGGTGGAGATGATGGCGTAGGCCACCCCGGCACTGCTCAGGGGCGAGGCAATGGCAGGGGGCTCGGCCAGGGCCTGGGGCTGGCTGCCGAGCGTTGGCACATGGCTGACGGTGTTGTTGGCAGTGGGGAGGGCTGGGCTGGGATTCTTGATGCTGACCACGGTGCCCTTCTGAAATGTCGGGGGCTGCTTGGGTGGCCGGTCCCGGCCCGGGGCAACGGGGAGGCTGTCTGGAATCAGAGTCTTTGGCCTAACCTGAGGAGAGGACAAGTGTGTAGTCAGAGGCACCGCTCAGAGGTGTCCACATCAGAAGTGCGGGTGGGCCTTGGTGACCAGTGACTTCTGGCCTTGACCCCGAGAGAGGCTTTCTGGCTGCGCACACACCAACCACCTCGGGGCCCACGCTGGGTCCCCACTGGGTTAACTGAGGGACATGGGCTTGGGGGGGACAACACATAGAACATAGCCCAGGATGGAATGGCGGGACCTGAGAGCGCATCACGTTCCCAAGCACAAAGCACCCTGGCATTGCGGTGGCAGGGCCCCGCTGGCTGGCTGGGTCAGGGGCTCTGCTGTTCTCATGGGTGGGGCCAGGCTGCGGCGAGGTCCTGTGAACAACACCCCACTGTGCCGTACCATCCAGTGTCCATGCCTCCGTCACTCTCCCACAGGAGACAATGAAGCGGCACTGCAGCCCGCACTGGGAGGGCCAGGCCACCTGGGCCCAATCTCAGCTCCTGCGGGACTGTGTGACCCTGGGGACACCTGATGATCCTGGGGCATATACTAGGGTGACAGGGCCACTGGTATGGCTGGGGTGGGTGAGCAGGTGCCCAGCAAATGTCAGCTGTCACCAGCATCCTGTCACTCCAGCCACTGTGGCAGCAGATCCCAGTGCACACCTCGAGCCACAAGGGAGGTCACCCCAAGCCCGGAGATCCTCTTCAAAGAAGATGACAAGGGCTGGCATCCAGCACAGTCACGCTGCAGGGTATGTCCTAGCCATGCCTAGAGGGCAAACTGAGGCACAAGCCTCGGCCTAGGCAGTGGGATGGGAAGTACGACTGCCAAGCCGGCCCCGCAGCTGTGCCGGCCTCAGCACCTGCTGACCCCCACGTTCCTCCGTCCCGTCTTTAATGACATGAGGTGGGCGGCTCTGTGGGGCACAAGCCTTGGGGAGGGCACTGCCATGTCAGCACTCCGCCCAGTGCTCAGGGGCTTCCAGCCCAAGAAGCTGGGAGCCAGGCGGCCTGGCCAGGCACGGAGGCCACGGCAGAGCCTGGCCCAGAACCGGCCCCTGTGCCACCTCTGAAATTGATCGATCCATCTAGCGTTCCTTCAGTGCACTGGACTGTGACCCAAGACAGAAACGCAGTGTCCAGCGATGGTGCTTAGCCCCACCTGGCCACTGCTGGGCCACCTGCGCCAGCCCCGCTTACTCTATTCGAGGAGAAATTCTGGCCATGGCCACGGAACTGGCCGGCACTTTTCACTGTCTGGAGACACCCAGGTTCCTCCCTGTATGAAACCTGTCCAAAGGCGCATGCAGATGAACAGCAGGAGTCCAGCTCAGGGACTGAGGCCGTGGGGACAGATGTGGACCCCCTGGGACCTCTGGCGTCACTTACCTGAGGTAGCACAGCCGCTCCTTGTCCGGCCAACCTCTGCAAGGAGCTGACCTGAGGACCCGTGACAGGCACTGCAGTGATGCTTCCCAAAGCCTGCAGGACAGAGAGGCGCACTGAGCCCGGATGTGGCGCGCTGAGCCCGGATGTGGCGCGCTGAGCCCGGATGTGGCGCGCTGAGCCCGGATGTGCCGCACTGAGCCCCGATGTGGCGCACTGAGCCCGGAAGTGGCGCGCTGAGCCCGGAAGTGGCGCGCTGAGCCCGGATGTGGCGCACTGAGCCCGGATGTGCCGCACTGAGCCCCGATGTGCCGCACTGAGCGCAGCAGGCTGAGCTGCGGAGGGCTCTCCTAGAGACAGCAGTGTGCCCTTTCTTTTCTGTTCCTTTTCCTTTTCACAGTAGTGAGGATCGGACGAAGGGCTTTCACAATGAGCGACATCCTCAGCCTTTATTTTGAGACAAATTTTCATGAAGTTCACAAGTTGCCCAGGCTGGCCTTGAACTTGCCACCCTCCTGCCTCAACCTCCCCCAGTGCTAGAAAGTCAGGCGTGTGCTACCATATGTAGCTTAGTCTTTCTTTTCTTATGAGCTTTTATAAATCACAAAGTAATGTGTGTCCAAGAAATTCTGAAGAGAAAGAAAAATAATTGGATTTCCTAGAAAACCATCCTCCTAGCTCCATTTGGTAAGGTCTTATGCAGCCAGATGGGATTCTGTCACCCATTTTCCTACTTTTACTTAGGAATCTGTGAGATTGCCCATTGTCCTATAATCTTTATCGATCATCCCTAGATGGATGAGGACTCTTCAATTCAGAGGTGTGACAGTGTTTTCTAGCTCAACACACACACACACACACACACACACACACACGTGCACATACTTCTCTGCCCCACAGTGAAGCTTTAATCCATTCTTTATCCCCACTGGGCTCCTGGTAGAGGCATGCCCTGAGTGTGACCTACAGGTCCCTCAGATCCCAGCACCCCTACAGGAGATACCCCAGTGTATGATGGGATAATCACAACAGTGGTGTGGTGGACACAGGGAGGCGAGAAGAAAGGAGATGACATCCGCGGGATTCCAGGGGTGTGAAAGAGAGATGTGTTTGGGGTGTTGCTCCCACAGAAGGAGCAACCACTATGCACATTTCCCATGGAGAAGCAGCTCTACAGGGCCAGGTCAGCATCCCACAAGCCTGGAGATGTGGGAGAGAGGTGCCTCGCACCCAGGGCCAGCCACGCTGTCAGTGGCCACAGTGATCAGCAAGATTTTCTCTTAAACACAGATGCAAGTGTAAGGTTCTTTCCTCTGGTGCAGAAGAGAAGCAGGAGAAACGTGGAGAAATTCTTTATTTCTCAGAGCGGGAGGACTGCAAAGAGCAGCAGGAACCCTTGGGGAGCAGGTAGGCAGGCAAAGCGCTGACTGGCTGGGCCTGGGGCGGAGCTTGCACGGGCAGGGCGCACCCTAACAGGCGCTGACAGGGGATGCTTGGGACACATGCAAAAAACAAGAGAGGAAGTTTGAGGTTAACCAAAGGGAAGAAGACAGAAGTCAGTCTAGGAGGGGCTCGTCACTGGCTCTGGATCCCCACACCACGTGGACCCCGCCATGATGACCACCACAGCAACCTCTGATGGGACGCAGACCCACCACAGACATTCTCAGCAGAAATGTTAGCAAACCATTGCCAACACTAGTCCAAAGCAGAATATACCATGAACAGGTCTGTACTCAGGTACAGGGCTGGTCCGCTGCTCAAAAATCAGTGTAATTTGCTAAAGGAACGAGTCAAAGGTAAAAATCATGCATTTATCTCAGTAGACGCAAAAAACAAAAGCTAAAACCAATACAACACATATCTTTAACAAGGTCGCTGGATATAAGAATAATATATACTACCAACCATTGATATTCAGCAATTTAAAATGTCTAAGTCCCATTACAACGGCATTAAAAATATTTAGAGATAAATATGACAGTAGTTGTATAAGACTAAACATACTATTGAGAGAAAAATTTAAAGGCCAGAATAAAGGAAGGTGTATCATAGCCGCCAAGGGGCAGAAGGCTCACCACGAAGACGTCGATTCTCCCCAAGCGGGACTATCAGTTTAACACAACCCCAATCACACTGTCAGCAGGACTTTTTTCTTGTGGAAATCAATGAAATAATTTTAAAGCACATAGGGCTGGGGAGACGTCTCAGTGGAATAAGTGCTTCCCTGGCGAGCGCACGGGCCTGAGTTCAATCCCCGGTTCCGCCAAAAAAAAAAAAAAAAAAAAAAAAGCACATGTAGAATAAGGGGCCTAAAATACGCAAAACAGCTCTGAAAGAAATATAAATAATAGCCAAAAGTCGCTGCTGACTCGGGCCTACGTGGCTGCAGAGGCCAGGCCGGTGTGGAGCTGGTGTTCAGCCGCACAACGCACCCAGGACCGAGTCCAGAGCAGACTCACACAGTGAGTTAACTTCATGCAAAGGCAGACAGATAATTCTGTAGGGAAAAGGCAGTCTCTTGCAGAGAGATGGCTTTCAAACAAGGAGACACCCATACACTAAACCAAAATAGAATTTCTTTTTTTTCTTTTTTTTTTTTTTTTTTAATCATTTATTTATTTATTTTGTGTGTGGCCAGTTCAGCCCACCAGGGGGCAGAGCTGGCTGGCATGTGGTGCTGGGGGATTGAACCGCGGTCCCTGTGCTTTTGCTTAGCTTAGCTTGTTCTAAGTAGGTGCTTTAGACTACTGAGCCATCTCACCAGCCCTCTTTCTTTTTTTTTTATCTTTTAAAACCAAAGCATTTATTCTGAGTGGTTGCTGCAATTCTCAAGATGAACTGGACGCTGCAGCTGCTGCTCTCTTGGGTTTAGGTGTCGTTCCTTCGCGGAATCCACACCTGAATCTGCGATTACAATTTTTAGGTGCCTCATTCGACCGGTTCCGGTGGTATTTCTCCTTTTAGCCTTTGCACTCCAGTTATACTTTCTCTTGCACTTGGCAGGATAGCCACACTTGCCACAAGTTGACTTCTGAAGGTGGTAGGCCTTAGAGCCACAGCGGCAGCACAAGGTGTGCATCTTATTATGACGCTTTCCAAAGGATGATGTTCCCTTTGTCATCTTGCTTGTGCCTCCGAAACCAAAGAGCCCAAAAAAGAATTTCAACCTCTGTCACTGACCACATTTGTTAAAAAAATTGACTAGAGACATAAGTGTAGAGGCTAAGATTAAAACATTCTAGAAGAACAAGAGAAATTCTTTGGACCGGGGTTAGACACAACAACGATGAAAGTGTAATTCATACAGGATCAAATGAACAAACCTCAATAAGTAAGACTTCAAGAGAAGTTTCTCCTGAGAGTGAAAGAACAGCGCTCAGAGAGTGCAGATCCAGGCCGCACAGGGGAAAGATCACATGCAAATCACCTGCCTAGAGCCTGGGAAAAATTCTACAAATGCAACAGCTGGAAAACAAACACTTGTCTAAAAACAGAAGGGCAGAACTGAACGGCTCCTTCACTACAAAAGATACTGTACAGTGAACAAGCAGATGAGCCTGGAAATGCAAATTCACTTCCCCAACTGAACTGCGATTTAGTTACCGCAGTAAGACACCGCCGCGCCCTGACTTGGACGGCTAAGGTTAGAGGGGCAAATCAGAAGCAGCCAGGGGCAGCGCAGCAGCGGGCTGCTTCACACTCCCTGCTGACGGCAGTGCAGCGCGGCACGTCGCCTCTGAAGGCAGTTCAGTGGCTCCTTAGAAACTGCATTTCCTGCTATGGACTGAAGGTCTGTGCCTCTCAGTTCACGAGTTAAAACCCCAGGTCCTGAGTGATGGAATGCGGAGCTGAGGCTTCTGGTGTGCTTCTCAGGGCCCTTACAGGGACACAGCCTGCTCCCTTCCTCTCCACCCACCTGCAGTGTGAGGACATGGGAAGGTGCCCACCTGCCAAGGGGCCCTGATCTGGCACCTGGATTTGTACCTCCCGGGCTTCACAACCGTAAGACGTGGGTGTCTGCTGCTCACGCTGTCCGTCATGGGGCTTCTGTTACAGCCGCCGGCACTGTGCAGGCGTTGGGTGATAACCTAGCCAGTCCCATCTCCTCTAGCAGCCCAGAAGCACGTGGTCACCTGGAGACCTGTCAGTTAACGGTCTCACCGCAGCTGGGAGCAACCAGCGTGCCCAGCAGGTGTCTGGACCACAGCTCTGCCATGCTACAGGAGGTGACTACACTATGTGAGGTACCCACAAGCGCAGGGTCCCCTCGCACCAGGTCCTGGGGAAGAAGGTGCTTTCACCTCCCAGGCCTGCAGCCCCAGGCACCACGGTCCTTGCCAGCATGGAGGTGCAGACCAGAGCGCCTCCCTTGGCCTTATGTCCCTCTGGGCATGGTGACTTCTTCCCAGAACACCTCCAGGGCCAACCTGGCTCCTAGGGCCCCCGCTCTGCTTCTCTTCACTCTAAGACCTTCCCCCAAGCGTGTTCCTCCCCATCCTTATAAACTTCTCATTAAGGAGCTGAAAAGACATTTTATTTGGCAAGGGCTGACCTTTCTGCTCCACGCTGGAATTTATTGATACCGTAGAAACAATCATCTCAGAGGCTATTTCAGGAGTGCCCGGGTATTTTATAGCCGCACTTTTGTCAGGATAAATGAGCTCCTGATGACTACATTTACAGCTCTAAGCATTTTAATGGGGGGGGGAAGGGCCATAAAAATCAAAGATAACTTCAAATTTTCCTGCATTTGCTAAGTTTCGCCAGCAGCAGGTATGGCCCAGGAAGCGGTCCCCAAAGCCAGTGAGTGGAAGGCTGGTCTCGGTGGATTTGTAGACCGGAGACTCCCATCGCCTTTCTTAGTTTTGCTTCCCGGCTCACGCAGTGGGTGCTTCGTCCTGCCATTGCCACGTGCACCCTGCTCCAGGCCCAACCCTTCTCTGCTGAGTTCTCTCAGGTATTCCATTACATAACAGAAGGCTGATGCACACAGCGCCCTCCTGCCTGGCAGATGGGGAGTCACAGCTGCCTCCTGCACCTGCTGACCAGAAGCCAGGTACACACAGGAAGCAGACAGGTGAACGCTGTCCTCA